ACACACACACACACACACACACACACACACACACACATACATATACATACATACAAAACACATACATACATACATATGCATCCATACAAACACACACATACACACACACATATACATCCATAAACACATCAAACACACACATACATACACACATACACACATCAAACAACAGGGTAAGTGTCTACATTAAAAGAAAACATGCTTGGCTGTGGAAGTGCACACCTGCAATGACAGCAGGCTGTATAATCGTCAAGAAGCTGAGGCAGGGGAATAATGACTTAAAGGCCAGTCTGGGCCACATAGTAAGACCCAGTCTCAAAAATAAATCAATAAAAGTGAAAACCTGCTAATGGCTTTCCAATTTACCCAGAGAATGGAGGAACATGCTAGTTATAGATGCTAAAATGATGCTCTGGGCCAGCTGTGTTATTTGCTCTCTGTTTACTATGTTTTTTAAAATTCTATAGTAAAAAGTTCTAAATAAATAAATCAGTTGCTCTCAGGGGAAAACACAAGGCAAAGATTGGCAAATGTTAATAGTGATCATCTCTGACTCAAAGAATTATGGGTAATTTTTTTATCTCATTCTGCCAGCATTGTTCCATCTTTCACGTTTCTGTGAAAAGGAGATATGACATTAGGAATTCCAAATGTGTGAGATGACAGTTTAAAGGTTTTTCTTAGTCCCTCAAAACAAAACATAAATCAATTGTACTCATATGGAGGGAATGATCTAGCTTGTAGGAAAAAACAAAAAACAAAAAACAGCCTGGAGTCAATTTGTGAGTAGAGTAAGATTCGGCTCCCCCCAACACACACACACTGCCACCTCATGTCCCCAGTCCACTGCCACCCACCTCTGCATCTTCTCTGCCAAAGCTACTTAAATTATCTCTATGTAGAACCCCTTTGTGCCCAATAAATTTTTACATGATCCCAAGTATGTTAGTATATAAAATAAGTACACAAATTAAATATTTACTGATAATCATACAGAAATTCATCTTAAGACAATTATTTAATATGCATGTCATTTTACCATTTATTAAAGACAAAGCAAATGTTTATACTAAAGCAATAGATATGCTTAGTTTGTTTTTACATAAGTGAATTAAAATTTTGTGTATGTATGTGCTCCTATGCCTGTGTGTGTGTGTGTGTGTGTGTGTGTGTGTGTGTGTGTGTGTGTGTGTAGTGCATGTGAGTGTGGGGGTGGACAAAATCATGAATATGTAACTGCAGAGACCAGAAAAGAACATTGGGTATCTTCTGTCTCTCTCTGCTTTGTTGCCTTGAGATAGGGTCTCTCCCTGAACAGGAAGTTGGCCTGTTGGGGTAGGCTGGCCTGGCTGGCCAGAAAACTCCTGGAATCTTCATATCTCCACCCCTTCAATGCTAGGGGTGCAAATGCTCATAGTCTTGCTGAGCTTTAAAAAGAAAGAAAGGAAGGAATAAAACAAAGAAGGAAGGGAGGGAGGGAGGGAGGGAGGAAAAGAAAAATAAAAAGACAGTCTTACTGTGTATCTCTAGCTAGCCTGGAACTTCCTATGTAGTCCAGGATGGCCTTGAACTCATAGAGATCTGCCTGTTTCTGCCTTTGAGTGCTGGAATAAAAAGAGTACACTACCACACCAGCCTTTCATGCTCAGCTTTTTATTTAAGTGCTGGGGATTCGAACTTAAGTCCTTGGGCTTGCACAGGAATCACTCTTCCCCAGCCCCTAAAATGTAATCCTGACCAGATACTTGATGCTGTAGGACATAAGACACTGTCAGCATTTTCCAGAGTTGGTCAATATTTTGATTCCGAACCATCAGTGCCAAAAGCCATCAATATACATCACATCAATACACAATACAAAAATGGCAGGTGTGTGTTTAAGACATTTTCAGAAATTGTTGGAAATTCTGCCCTAATCCCAAACCAAAGCACATTCTGTTATTTTTTTTTTAATGAAACTCAAGTCAGCAGTCTAAACAGCAATTTGCAAAATCAAACATTCCAACCGAGTGCAACCCAAAGATACTGATTTGAAATGTGCATGCTCAAAAATGATAGTAGGAAACACTGTCTTTGTTTCCTACGATTACACCATGACTGTCTGCAGGAGCAGAATTTCGTATGTGGGGCTAAAGACACAATTCAGTTGGCTTGGTGCCTACCTAGCTTGTAGGATTCCCTGGATTTGATCCAGCAGTACCACATAAACTGTGTGTGCTACCTCATGCCTCTAATCCCAGAACTCAGGAGATAGAGGCAAGAGGATCAGAAGTTCAAGGTCATCCTTGGTGACATGGCAAGTTCAAAGCCAGCCAAACACCTCAAGGAGCGCTCATTGGAGTCTCGGCGCTCTACAGTTCCCACAGCCGCACTTATCACTGCACCAGTGTTTGCTCGTCCCTCTCAGACTGTGCTGCAAGTTCATGGCCGCCTGAATCCTTGTTTCTGGAAGTGACCAAGCTCAGCAGCCAACACAGCAATGCAGCTGCAGAAACTCAATCCTTTTGTTACATAAATAAGTCAAAGCAGATGCACTGTTCACCGAGCCCAGCTGTTGCTTGGTCCTCAACATTTACAAACACTGGACCTGTTCCTCCTGGTGTTGACTTGCAAAAATCTTCATGGGGCAAAGGAACCAAAGTCAGCTCTTTTGCAAAGAAACTTGACTGAGTCAAGAAGGTGCGCTGTGCATTCAAAAGACTACTGAGCTAGGGAGAATCTGGCGCAGTTGATAAAAGTGTTATCCACACAAACATGAGGACCTTAATTCAGTCCCCCAAAAGTCTATGTTCAAAACTGGGCATATTAGCACACGTGTCTCAGTGCAGAGGAGGTGGAGACAAGCAGATCCCTGGAGCTCACTGGCAGTCAGCAGTGCCTACTCAGTGAGCCCTGGGGAAGGGGTGGGGGGCGGGATGTAGAGTGCACCTGAAGAACAATACCTAAATTTAACCTACAGCCTCTACATGTGCATATTAGTTGACTGATTAATTACTTAAACAAATCAGTGGCTGAACCACCTGCTTATGGAAATGAGCAAGCTCTGTAAGAAAGGATACAATCACAAACACAGACACACAAATATAGATAGATAGATAGATAGATAGATAGATAGATAGATAGATAGATAGATAGATAGATAGATAGACAGACAGACAGACAGACAGACAGACAGACAGACAGACAGACAGATAGATAGATAGATAGATAGATAGATAGATAGATAGATAGATAGATAGACAGACATAAATACAAGATGGAAACCCAACATAACACACCAACCTTAGGGTATCTAAGGGGAAAACAGGAGTTGAGGACTCCGTGAACAGCCCACAGTAAGAGTCCAAGGAAATGTCAGTATTCAGAGCAGAATGAAGGACTGGCAATACATTTCCCTTGGGATGACCCACAGGGCACAGGCCCTGCTGCCTGTCTCTGAATCAAGACAGAAGCACCCTCCTCCTTCCAGCCCACACACTCTAGAATACTATGATACGTTTTCATTATCTTCCTAAATATATATATTTGTATATATATACATGTATATGTATATGCTTAATTTACTTTGCGTATGACTTAGAAATCTAAAATCTCAGACCTAGAGAAAAACTGTAGAAATTGCGTACCATGGTGGTGCACACCTTTAGTCCCAGTACTTGGGAGGCAGAGGCAGGCTGATCTCTGAATCTGAGGCTGCTTAGGCGAGGTCACACGGCACAAAACAGTGTTCCAGAAACCCAGGCGGATTTCTGTGCAGTAGCCAAAGCCTTCTCTCCCTGGACTCTCCTCTTCCCTTAAGCAGCAGTTCCTAGCCTTCCTAATGCTGCGGCCCTTTAGTACAGTTCCTCATGCTGTGGTGACCCCCAACCATAAAATTATTTTCATTACTACTTCATAACTGGAATTTTGCTCAGAGGTTAAGAGCACTGGCTGTTCTTCCAGAGGTCCTGAGTTCAATTCCCAGCAACCACATGGTGGCTCACAACCATCTACAATGAGATCTGGTGCCCTCTTCTGGCCTGCAGACAGAACACTCACTGTATACATAATTAATTAATTAATTAATTAATTAGAATTGTGATGTAAATATCTGTGTTTTCCAATGATCTTAGGTGACCCCTGTGAAAGGGTAATTCAACAAACCCCCACCAAGGGATCTCTACCCGCAGGTTGAGCACCACTGCCTTAGATCCTACCAAACAAACTTCCCCACGCATGTGTCCTTCCCAACCT